AGCGAAGTCGTAGTATATATCGTCAAATAGAACTGCCCGGTAAACCGTAGGCAGAGAGGGAGATATTATAAAGTTGGATTTCCTCGACGTCGCCCCCCCCCTTTCCCCCCCTCCTCCCCCCTCCCCCCCCCAAAAAAAAAGAGTCATATGCTCGTCAGCATCACCAAGGGACTCAGCAATCAGTCCAGCAGCCTGGTGGCCTCCGCTCTCGTCTAACAGTATCCGACTGATCCCATAAGGGAAGCTAGCTCCAGTGGATTGGAGATGGCTGGCTGTCCGGCCCTTCCTGCAGCCTGTCCCTGCCTACCATCTTGACCCGAATAGAACGCCTGGTCATTATAGCTGCATTTGGGTTAACTATTAGTCTAGAATCTCTAGAGTCAGGGAGAATGAATATGTGTTCTATTCGGGTGAAGACGATAGGCCAAAGGCAACAGCAACTGTCAGGAGTCAGGACACAAGCCTACAGAACTTGAAGGTTCTTTATTGGGCCTGATTCGTCCCAAAGACTCCCAAGATAAGCTTCTAAATGGGTCCCGTAATGTGTATTCCCCCAGCCTATAACTTGGACCATATACAGCAGCAGACGTTCACCATTACCAGAAGATTCAGGCCTTCATGCCTAAAAACATTGCCGGCAAATCCGTACCATTAGCGGTATTTGCAGATAATGGGTCCCTGCCCCCGAAAAAAAGAAAGGAGGAAAAAAAGGACTCCCTGTCTGGAGAGCTTTTGGAAATATCCGTGGCGTTGTCAGTCATCGGATATTGTAAGGGCACACTCACACTAGGACTTTCCCAAGTGCCTCTGACTGCAAGTACGGCCCGAGGTGGATGAATCTAAATGCAATCAAGTCCAGAGCTAAGTAGAAAAAGTCCTTGTGTGAGTATTCCCTAAGAACAAAAGATCAAACATGGACAACAACAGAAATTGAACAGATGTTATTTAGGGCTTACTATTTACAAACAAAGCCAAGGCACAAACACAAGAAAATCTGAACAACAACCAAAAAAAAATCTATGTACACTGCAGTGACTACACTATGTCACATTCTGCTCTGGTCAGCAGCTTGGTCTAGGGCAGCAGTGGTTGTGGGAGCAGCTTGGTCTAGGGCAGTAGTGGCTACGGTTCCCGCAGCCATCATGGGGGAAAGCGTGCATGCGTAAATTTGTCATCCCTACCGGTGGTGGTGAGCGGGACTGCTGCTCCCCAGACGGGGAGGGGCGCGTCTTTTGTCAAAAACAGCAAAAAAGGAATGGGCCTTGGACCCAAAACCTTAGGATAGCTTAGGCATAGTTGGTACATTTAAGGTTGGCTCCTGAATTAAAAAAACTGCTACTTCTGGGCTAGAGGTAACCCGTTAGGTAGGCAGCTACGGTGAGGTAGATACAAGTTTGAGAGATGAAAATAGGGTAGCAAAAATACAGCTTGTCCCCGATATATGAGGAGAAAAGACAGCTGTATGAAAAAGAGAAAAAAAAAAAAAGAAAAAAAAAAAGAGGAATGGGCCTTGGTCGCTGCAAAAACGCACACGTTGTTGCACCTTGTGTTCGCACTCCACATCATCCGAATTCTCAAGCCCAGTTTGTGACACTATTCCAGAACACTTGTCAAAAAAGGAAAATATACCAGTCGAAGAGACACACACACGTGCACACACAGACAGACAGACACACTCACACACACACACACACACACACACACACACACAGAGAGCAGGGTTGGTGTGAGTAAAGTCGACCAGGGTTATCACTACCAAGCTCTGGGAGATGTGGACAGTCATTCTTAATCAGTCAAATGCAGCCTGGTGCAATGAATTGCAAGTCAATCACCCTCAACCTCGTACACTCATGCAACGAGCATCCAGCCATATGAGTGTTCACGCTCGAAACCGAAAGCCGAGGCACAAAAGTCACACAAGAGTACAACTCGCAAGTTGTCTTTATTATGCAAGGAAGTGTACATATCTCCTATGGTCCCCGTCGCTCACACAGTTCCGAACTCGAATCAGGTAAATGTAATGACCCGTCAAAACACAGACTGAGAACACTGCTGATTTCTGAAGTTCTGCCGATGGAATGGATGCCTTGCTGAGATTCCCACATTCTGCTGTGTTTTCTAAGTCTGTCTGTGTGCGCGTGCTTGTGACCTGCATGCCTGTCTGAGTGCTTGTCGGTATGAGTGTGTGTGTGACCCGCAAGGGTACTTGCTTGTTTGGTAGGCCCGCGGGGCCGGTACTTACCTGTGGCCGTGGCATTGAGGGTTGTAGCAGGGAAAAGCACTCAAGTGGCGAAGCTAGCGGCCCTGAGGCCCTTGGGGTAGCGGAAAAACACTCAAGTAGGCCGGTAGGCCGATACTGCACCCCACTGCAGTTGGCGTGAGGGGGTACTGGAGGCCGAGCAGAAAAAGACAAAGTTGGCATTTTTAGAGTCCAGTAGCAGTAGGGTAGGTCCAGGCCGGTACCAGTCCAACCAGTCTGAGTCTAGAGCCTGTACGGGTAATATCAGGGTCTGCAATGATGTTTCCCTCCGAAACGGAGGAAGTACCGGTTGCTTGGAGAGGCCGAGCGGCCTGGAAGTCACCGCCCAGGAGGCAAGTAGGCCGCTATATCAAGAGGCAGGGCGGAGAGCCCAGCCTCATTCTTCAGTGTGCGAGTTGGGCGTCACGCTGCTGGAGCGCTGGCTGGAGTAGCGCTGGGCACTACAGCGCTGCTGGGAGGAAGAAGCCGGGAGCTTCCACCTTGGCTATGGTGGAGCTCTACCGGTAGGAGGAGGAGGGAGAAGGGGACCAAGGAGGAGAGTGGCGAGGTACTTACCGGCTATGGTAGACACCATCTTCATCTCCTTGCTAGGCGCTGCACCAGGAAGGCCCCAGTGGGGGTAGTGCCGCATCAAGGAAGCTCGGACAGAGTCAGGCATGGCGGCTGAGTGGGCAGCGGCATAGCAGCTGGGTGATGACCTTGAAGTAGGGCAGCGGTATAGCTGCTTTGGGTTGTCTTTGTACGGGAGGCTGAAGCCTCAGTACTCCACCATAGCCTCGGCCTGTATGTGGAGGAAGAAGAAGGACTGCCAGGGCTATGGTGGACCTCATCTTGTGCCTGCAGTAGAAGTGGGATTCGGACATTGATTCTGGTTCAGCTGTTCAACATTATTATTGTTTATTTATTGTTTGGATAAGGAAGGAGGAGATAAAGAGGAGGAGG